TAAAAGAAAAGGGTTATTGTTTAAAATTGTGTTTTAATAAATGTGTCTATGTTAAGTGAGTGTGGTGTTCGTTGTGTGCTGGAGGTCTTATGGTGGAGCAGCTACTACCAAACGCCTTTACAAAACTAGCCTCTGATGGGTTACAGAGTTTTGGGACACATTTCAATTCTTGTAACCTCTTTCTATAGAAACTGATTTTTTGGGGCCTAAAACATTGTGTTGTGGTGAAATTGATGATACAGACACTTAGTGAATTGCCCAACGTCAACAGTCCTGATTTCCAAGCATTAAAGCTTTGGTGTATGTACAGATTGCGTTACACAAGGATTCTTTAGCCATAAATGACTCATAACAAAAGTCAAAACCACACAAAGTGCACGCTGCAATGACCTCAATGGGCAGTAACACTGCATATTAATTTGGGTCTTAGTTGCTGTTCTTGAATTTACTTTAAGAATTTATTTTTAACAATTATTTTCATTCACTTTAAAACTTTCTTTAGTGGCGTTAACTTCAACTAAAAGTTTGTTGGAGCATCATCTGTTTTCATAAACTGAAAACAGTAATGTTTAAAGCGTTCATCGATGGCTACCAATGATGTGGTTTCCTGGAAGGGGATGAGCTTCTCATCCATCACAAGGTAGTATATGTTAATGGCCTCCCTGCTGGTTCCAGATGCAAGGAGGTACGGCTTGCAATGTCTTTCCTGGCGCTCCAAGTGTTCATCTAAGATGATCTGTGACTAAAGTGAGAAACAAAAATAAAGCAACTGGAAACTCTTTTGTCTTCACTGCATTCCCCACCAGAGTCATTGCCACCGTTTACCGAACAGAGGACACTGAGATGACGAACCGCTGGAGAGTAACAGACTACAGCGCAGACGGCAGAGTTCTCATGTCGGTTCTCTGCCGTTTTCTGAAGACGTCGGCAAAGGGTGCTAAGAGGAAGAGAACAGCATCCAGAGCCCGACTCCACTGAGGAAGCGCTTCAGGATTTAATATAAAGTGAAGCATGTCGAACACCAGCAAGCCTGAACAAAGTGGTAAGTAGTAAATAGTGTTTAAGGTTGTTTCTAAAATTCTGTCCTAAGATATTTGAAAATTGTGGAGGTTTTAACTTTTATTCTTTCTTTTCTGCCTCTTGTTTCTAAAAGTCAGGAAAAAGAGTCACGCTGAGAAGAAACTCCACACAGAAGATTCTCCCTCATTAAAATGGTAAATATATTCATCTTGTTATGACGTTTGCTCACAATAACCAGGAGTGTTCCTGTTGTTCTGAAGTGATTCACTCTCATTTGGTGTTATTTGTTCCAAAGACAACTGAGAGTGTTCAGAGCAGCGTGAACGGCAGTGACCTGAAAGAGAGTCCTCGTGCCTTTGTGGATCCCTCCAGGTACTCCGGCTTCTTCCCACAGTCCAGAGCGATGCAGTTAGGTTGAATGTGAGTGTGAATGGTTG